AAATCATTGCTTTGGGATTTTTTAGGCTATAATTTCAGAGGGCATAGGTTTAAAATTCTAAATGGGAAAGGGATAGGTTGAGGAAAAAAAAAAAAAAGCTGCTGGAGATACTTTTTTTCATTGTGGGGCTTTCTCCTTGTTGACCATGCAGGGTTCCTCAAGCTCTTTTACTGTGAGGATCAATCTTGAGCAGAAGCATTTTTTTCTTAGTAAATAGATAGTAAATTGGAATAAACTGATTTCTTTCTTTGCTAACTTGTACAGAAAGTTCCATTTAGCAAAAGTGGGTATGAAATATAACCATGTAATAACTGTATCAGGTTGTAGCCAGATCAGGAGAACACCAGCTCTGAACTCTGCGGTCAAGACAAACGGATACCTGAATTCCAGAATGTGGTATCACAAATGATTTTGCTTCTAAAAAAGTTTATGGAGAGAAGGAGAAAACTTGAAATGGTTTAGAAATGTTGCTCCTGAGAAGGACGAAGTAAATGGATAATTATTGGGGTGGGGTCTTAATATATAAGCTGATTGTAAAACCTGTTAAAGTCATCAGTGTAACTTCTCAGTAAAGTCAAGACTGCAAGCCAATGACAGATTTTGAAATGTAAAATACATTTTGGTGGTGTGTGGCATTGCAGACTGGCTCTGTTCCATGTCTGTCTAGCTGCTCAGCTCTGGAGGTGATTTAAACCAATGCAGAAACAGTACTTCCATCTTTTTCCCCCTGCCTCTTAGAAAAATGGAAACTAAAGTAATAGTACTGGTAAAAAGAAAACAAAAAACAAACAAACAAACAAAAACACCTCCTTTTGCCCTTTCTCTGTTTTGTCTCAAGGATCAGCCTTTCTGCACGTCAGTTTTCTGTGGCTGATGGAAGTCTTTTCCTCTTACGCTACTCTGTGCTTAGAAGTAATAGAACATGACAATAGGGGACAAGTGTCGTGTTTGTTGATGTTGAAGCGTTGTTTCTGTGTAGGGTGCTTTCTGCTTTTGTCAGTTTTGTGTGGCCAGGACAGCGAGGCCCCTTCCTGGGCGCCCGGCCGCAAGGCAGCGCGCTGCGCCCGCCAGGCGCGGCTTTTGGCGCCTTCCCGCCCAGCCGTGAGGGGGCGCGTGACGGTGGCTCGCGACCAACCGTTGTTTTTTTCGTTGTTTCGTAATTTCCGTTAACGGCCGGCGGGCACGCGCACCCCTCAGGGAATGTCGAACTCCACAGGGAATGTCGAAGCTCCGAACTCCCTGACACTGTGAGGAGAAGCCCGAGGCTCCCCATGGTTCTTGGCGGTGAAAATGTGAGGAGTCGAGAACTTTTCTTTCTTACTGCCCTTTCTAGTCGCGTAGGGTGTGAATCTGCCCCCTCCTTGGAGACGCGCTGAAGGAAAGCTGCTCTCCCTTTCCTTTTTGTTCTCTGTGTTTGGAAAGTATCGGAGAGGAGACCAATGACTATTGCAGAGAGGGTATTTTACTGCATGTTGGTCAGAAATTGTTACCATGTCTAAAACGGAGCTTATGTTGCTTGTTGCTACGTGTTAAAAAAAGCATGTAAACTTGCTTTTGGAAGTGTGTCAGAGGGGTGAAGCTCCTCATGTGGCAATGTTTGTTAAATGGAGCAGTCCTGCTCCTCACAGTTCTGCTCCACAGGAGGGAAAATCTTTTTCAAGTGGTGTGGGATTGAATCAGTGCATAGAAAAACATTTATTTTTAGTCTTTTATAAGGATGTTGTTACTGATAAAGAATAAAACAGTTAACAATCTTAGTAACGCGTTTTCAACAACTGTTATGCCTCTTATATGCGGCTGTTTCTCACCTTTAGGTATTATCTAGCAGTGCGACAGGTACAAAGTTCCCCAGATACAGGAATCCGTTGTAAAATTTCTTGTAAATTAAGAGAAAAGTTTTTGTATAATATAATTCTAAATTCAAAAAAGGAAACTGCTGTAATTTGTGTTGTGTGTTATTCCTGAACAGAAAATAACTTGTATTAAACTGAAAAAGTCATAGTTTCCTTTTATTTCTTTTGTTTTCCCCTAACCTTAAAAGCTGTCTGTGTATCAGCTGAATATTGAAACATTTTTGGAAAGGCTTCCCTATTTCAAGGGACATAAGCTATTATTTTAAAGCAAATAGGATTGGACTGCTTATATTGGGTGTTACATTATACAATCATTGTATTACAATGTTTTGAATTGTAAATGTGAGGGAAAGTCTGTTTCTAGTAAATACTCGTTCTGCAACTGTTACCCAGAAGTGTTTTTGTGTGGTTTTGGGGACTTTTTTTTTTTTTTTTTTAAGTACATAAAATAAGGGAATTTGCACAATCAGATTCCATTTGTACATCTATCAAACTCAGTGTGGTTGTCTGTTAGTCCTCACACCAGCTGCATGGCTCTTGCTGTTAATGACATAGGGTATAAAAATTCTTCTTTTCATCATTGTTATCTCACCAGTCATATTTAGGCATTTTTTTTCCACAGCTGCCCTGTATTAGAAAACAAGGATATATATCAGGACAAGAATTATTTAATGTTTTCCAAAATAGAAGAATTCTTCAAAACTGCATTTCTCTGCTGGAATAGGCAATGATCTTGGGATAATTACAATGATAAGTAATGATTGCTATAGTTCAGGTTATATGGCCCTAGCATTAAGTATGTTTTTATGGCAATAAGAAAATATTCTTGAACAGGAAAACACTCAAGATTGTGAGATAAAAGAGCTATTGTGGCAATAGCTCTGGTATTAACAGTGTTTTAGTGCTTTAGCAGTCCCATTCAAGGTCTATTTAATGGCACTGCTATTCATTTACTTAAGAAGTAATGCTGATTAGCCTGGTTTTATTCTCTACTACATTTTCTGTTTAGTTGCTGTGTTTTTTGTTTGTTTGTTTGTTTGTTTTTTTTGAGTCATGTGAGAGATTCTTTCATGCCGTCTTTTCCCATGTAGGGGTTCATCATTGTCTCAGTATGTAGAGTCATTCTTAAAATCTGTTAAAATGCCTTCAGCCTTTGAAACAGCAGGTAGGAGCTGAGGAGAAAAATACATTCATACCTAGAGTTTCTAATTAACTACAGGATGTCCATATGACTTAAATCCCTTGTTGTTCTTAGGGAAGTGATATGCTACCATTTAGATTTCTTTCCCTTTCTTAAAAGCTACTCAGTAAGCACAGTGATAGGCTCTTTGTTGTACAATATTAGATTATATTCCCCAAAGTATAACACAGCTGCTGTATCTGCAGAATTCAGGATTTTAATAAAGATGATTTATACTGTCTTTGACAACAATGAAACCTATTTGGCAAGTACAATAGAATAATATGTCAGAGATTGATTTCTTAATATACTCTGAAAATTTGACTTCTCTTTAATGTATTATTTTACACTAATTGGTTAATACAAGTATCATTCATACAATTTTGAACTACTTCTTTCAAAATGTATTTTAGAACAAAAAAAAACCATTTATTGATCAGAAGACATTTCATTATTTCTGCCTTCTTTTTTATTTCTCTGTCCTCAAGCATCTAAGCTTTTATTTTTCCCCTGTCAGAAGTAGAAATCAGATGAATTATTTCTGTGGCTTAATTTTAAAACTGTTATTGATACTGTTTGGAATATTTTGCTACAGTTCATTTGATACTGTGTAGAGTAACTTTGTATCACATGGGGTGGGGGAGTGAAACTAAAATTACGTAGTAGCTAAAAGCTCATTGACTGTACATAACAGCTGCTCTGTTAATGATGATTATGATTTGCAGCTTCCAGCTTCTTCGAGTTTACAGTTACTGAAGTTAGTATCAAGTGTTTTATTTGAAGTCACCCAGGAGATAAGATAGAGATAAGATACTCAGTATGTATTCAAACATATTTAAGTACCCCTGATAGCTTTTTTTGTGGGTTGCTATCCATCACTGGAAAGCACTCGACAAAAAATTCAGTGTCGTAGAAGGACAGGTTTCCAATAAGTATAAGGCTCAAACCAGCATGGAGAAATAGGTGTAGTCTTCAAGACACATGATGTAATTGATTTTTTATTTTATTTTATTTTATTTTTGAATGGCTTCCTTGTGTTAGTTTATGATGCCATGATTTTTCTGGCTGTTCTTACTAATTCATTGCATATTGTGATAATGGAAAAAATAGCAGCACAAGCATTTCCAGCGTCTCAGGGTTCTTTTCTATGGTGTTTCGTGCAGAACATCGTTCATGAAAAAGATGTTTCTGCTGCCTATGGATCCTCCAAAAGTATAATACCAACTTCAGTGCTGTGGTTCAAAAAGTTCCACATAAACCAAGCTATAAAGAGGGTTTTAATAACCATGCTTTTTGTTGTTGTTTTCTAGAAAGTTACTTTGCTATTCTTAGCTTCCTTTTGGTATTTCTGAAGGCACTAAATTTGTCCTAACTAGTGCTATATCCAAAATATATGTGTGATGATTTTTTTTTTTTATCTCACTAGAATTCTTTGTGCTCTAAAAGGGATGTTTGTTTGAAGGCTTTCTGGCAATGGCTTTAAATAATGTTTGGATGTTTTCTGTTTCAGATCATTTTCATTAATTAAAATGTTTCGGGTTCCAATTCTGACAAATATAATATTGCATGCAAATGGTGATCTTGGTTTACTCAATTGTTTTGAAAGAGAAGAAATTTTAATTACTTTCTGTAATTAATACAACAGAGGTTAGAAGCATCCAGTTTTCAGCAGATGTTTTTCTAGGTCAAAAATTCATAGGCATAGCATTTTTCTCTGTTTTGAAGATGATTGTTTATAGTGTGACATTTTCTTTGTCTCTATAAATATATTATTGCTTATTATATTTTGTTTTTTTTCCCAGAGGATTTGATTATGATTTTTATCGTGCAGTTCTGCGAATATCTATAGCTTTAATATTTAAAGATGAGATTCTCAGGTCATCCACTGTTATTTCCAGCACAACTGAATAGAAATGCATATGGAGCTTTATTTGATTTATCTCTCTCTCACTTGTCTGTATTTTTAGGTGGAATGGCAGTACTATGGTCTCAGAACTGTTTTGAATTGTCCTGAATGAGGACAGAGCAAAAGGAATGTTCTCTTCGGTTGCAGAAAAGAAGTCAAAGTTTGTGGTATCCTCTTGCTGGTGTGTAAGTAATTACCTACTACATAAATCAGAGGTGGATAGGACTCAAGATGTCCTATAGTCTATGTGTCTGCCCTGTGAGTGTCATACTTGGATTAAAATGTCAGTATTACACAGTATTTTTTAAGTTGTCACTAATAGTATTGTTAGCAGGGAGCCCTTAGACTGCTAGAGCAGTTTAAATAACATGGTACATTCTGCAAGTGCTAGGTCCTATGTTCGTTTCCAAATCCATGTTTTTGGTAATGGCAAAGGAACTGAAGACCTTGTGATTATTTAAGCTTTTCCTTCCAGTGGGCTCTTGAAAACATGAGTGTCTTTGATAATATTAAAAGTGCTGCTAATGTCCCATCTTGTTGAGCACTGGCAAAAATCCCAACTGTCACAGGAGCTCCAGAAGAGGCTGACAGAAAGGCATGCCTCCTGAAAGTAGCTATGTAATCTGGGTTAGAGTTGTTCACGTACTCTTGTAAGCAGCATTAACCTGTTACCAGTGATGAGTCTTACCTGGATGAATATTACAGAGTTCTGAGGTGCTTTTAGAAACATAAAATAGAATATGCTGTTTGAATAACTTTTTATGTAAACAAATGTCTATAATGAAGTATATATACCTATATAAGAATACCTCTAAGAAGGTGTTCATCATAATTGTGAGTAGTAGTATCTCAGCAAAAACACTGCTATATGCGATTTGTACTCTTACAGCTCAGCAGCTATAATGAATCTTTTCTGTGCCAAGCACTAGAATATAAGTTCATATTATAAATTTTAAAGAAAAAGAATGTAACTCCTGCTTTAAACTGTAGAAGAGAATTTTTAACATCCCCAAGTTGTTTTCTTAAAATAGGTTATTATAATAATGCTGTGATTAACTGGTACAACTTTGCTGAAATACACAATTTAGAACACAGTTGTCAGCTTTGGGAATTAATCTGTTTTAATTTTTGCCCAGGAAAGCCTTGGCACATTTGCATGCTACACAACTGATACATATATATGTATTGTTTTAATCATTGCTAGAAAGGTGGTTTAGATGCATCAGAGAATTTACCTATGTACCTGTTATTGCAAGCAGAGTTTAGGACACCCAGGTGCATCTAAAAAAAAAAAAAGTGTTTTCTGAAAATGATGTGCACAAGGATTGGAAAGAGAAAATTGTCTAATTCTAGCTTGCCATAGTCATGAGGCCAAAATCTAATCTGATTTTGTACTAATAAATTGCAGAATACCTTAGCAGAATTTCACTAGATAGTGCATGGAGGGACTGTGAACTTTACACAAGATCCACAAATAATTCATATAAGCTGAATGTGACGAAGTGTATACTTTATGCTCATCTGAAGAGGATTAACATGGAATCAAATTATCTCTTCCAGGTGTGACTGAGTAGCCAGTTAGAAACAGCTGCTGGGAACTGTGGTGTGATAGAACTGAGAAGAGTTTCAAAGAGACAAAAAAAAAAAAAAGGTCATGCAGCAGCAGTAGGAACAACATGGGTAAACTACAAAGGCAGGAAAAAGTGTTCTTTGGTTATTGAACAAGAACAAGGAGGGGAGTCCATAATTAAAGATTCTTTTGTTCTGTGTCACAGGGAATGGGATGTGAGAACTGCAGAGCTAGTGGGCTGAGGATTCCTGTGTCCTAAGATTGCAGAGGGACACCATACTGTGTATGTGACCCCTCTGGTCTTTGGGTTATGATTTAATCACAGCACTTTTTCCCCTTTCAGGCCCGCTTCCTCTGGATGGGAAGACATAATCAAGTGACATCTGCATGAAGACTAGCAGTTCTCACTCAGAGGATTCTGTTGGTGCCTTATCCTTCCTGGATGACATAAAGATTCTACAGTGAACACTAAGAACTTCAAGCAGGTAAGTGATTCTGAGAACATGTGTCAGCCAGTGAAACTTGGACAAGCATGTGTATTTGGAAAGTTGTAGGGGTGGCTGCTGACCTACAAAGGCAATTAGTCTGACCAACTACGCAGTTCTCAGTGTCTTGGAGGTAAGCTGAGGAGAAGCTTCTACTTGCAATTTTGCAGGCTTTGTATACTAACCCACAGCAAATAGGAAACGTGTGATGCGTGCTTCCTATAGTGTCTGTTTGCCTGTAACCTTTGCTTTTTTGTAAATCTTTGTTATGCATAATTTTTGCACTGTTAAAGTTCCCTCTTTCTTGAAAAAAATACATTTGTTATTTATTCGAAACAATTCTGTGTTAATTTTTCTGAGGCTGTAGGCTCAGTGTCCCAGGGCAAGAATGACAGGAAAGCTAAGCAAAATTGTAACAGCATAAATCTGTGATACATTTATTGAAGGCTAGGACAAAAAAAAAAAAAAAAAAAAAAAAGAAAACTTTTCCCTTTAATTTGACTTCCCAAACTGACTGATGGCTGAGAGTACAGTTTGTACTGAGTATGCTTTCTGAAAGGAAAGATGTGCTGGATGCACCCAATGATTTGACAGAAACAGTAGCAGTTCCTGTGGCTTCAGTAAAAGGAGGTGATAAGTAGGGTCTTCCATAGAAAAGGTGTATCTTAAACTGTGTGAGGAATGACCACAATAAAAAATTGCTTTTATGTTTATAATCTGATCAGCCTTTTGCTACTTGCTTTATGGCTATATTAAGTCCTTACTAAATGTCTTAGTTTAATGTCATATATGCTATCTTTATGCTGTGTGTTTGGGTTTCATGTGTCATCTCCATACTGCAGTGTAAGTATGCATCATCACCTCATGATTTTTATGTGAATGATAAATTCCAAGATGAATGGTTTAAAAAGATTGAAAAAACAAGAAAAATACATTTTGAGATAAAGTAGATCCTTCTATAGAAGGTTATGGAGTGGCATAATACAAAATAATTTTAATATTTCTGGGTATGAGGTTTTTAAACAGCCATTTCTACAATAACTTTATTTTCATGTTCAGTGCACTGTACTGTGCTGGTACCTTACCTACCCTCACATTTCTTTTACCTGTGTATCAGCAAGAGTGAGGGGAAACATCTTTGAGCAAAGTACTTGGGAAAAAAGGATACTAAAGAAATATGTCACCTTGCCACCGTAAGCATGTTTTTTTAAAGCTCTGATGCACAGCTTATTGAATGTGGGCCATGTATTCAGCCTCTGCAGAATCCCATTGCCTTCTGCAATGGTCAGATTTGGCACAGTGATGTGACCATAAACAAACGTCTGAGCAAAGGCTGGAAATACTACCAGCTGTATTCCATTGCTTTGGTTCTAAGGGCATGAAAATAATGAAAGCTGGAGTAACTGTAAGCAATAAAAAAACAAACAAACAAAAAAACAACAAAAAAAAGTGTCAGAGTTTCCCCATATTTAACAAAATATTCTTCCCCAATATATCTTGATTCTTCTTTTCTCTTTGTGTATTACTAAACTTCTAGGCTGAAAGGTGAGAGCAAAAAGTAAAAGGGGGGGGTAGAGAATTCAAGCATGTTTTTTATACTTAAAATGAACGAAAAGGCTCTTGATAACTTCAGTGGGTGCATCTCTGTTTGTATTTCGTTTTCAAGTAAGTGTGTCTTTGAGGCAAATCTGATCACCACCACTTACTGTGCTCTGGTTTGCATTCTGAAGTGATCTTAGACAAACTGATTTTCTTTTGTGCTAGGTTGAACTGAAGGATGCATTCCAGAAGTATGCCTAGTGCACACAAACCTTAAATCTACATTTAGATCAAGCGGTAAGAGAAGGGGTGATATGGAAAAAAATATAAAAAATCAACAGATGTAATGTGGATGCACAGTTCTATGTGCAGCTGTTCCATATTTTAAGCCTTCTCGTGCTAGGTCACAATATTTGTGAATACAGATGTGAGCCATGAATCCAGGATTGGCTTATGTATCGTTGTTGAAAAGCACTATTCTCTCTGAAGCTTTAGCAGCTTATTAAGACAATGGTGAGTGTCGAGATGGCTTACAGAAATTGGGAGCAATTCAGTCCAGTTTTAATTTGAAATTGAAGTGATCAAAAGGAAGAAAATACCTGAAATTAATTTGAAACTGTAATTCATCTTCTAAATTTAAAAATATTGTAGATGATAATTTAGAGGTTCTTTGTCTGGAAGTGTTATTACCAAGCACCGTCAATGTGCTTGAATGGTTAAAATGTAAAAATGTTGGATAATAGGACTTTTTCTGCATTCATGTCTTTGCAGGATTGATTTACCATCACAAATCAAATATTCTGCTTAGAGTTAAGTAGCTAGGCTGTATTTGCATTCTTTCTATTTCTTTAATTACATCATTATTCAGTTATGGAGTGGGCTTATAAATAAGTTTCAAAGTTGGACAGCTGTCTTTTATGACAGGAAACTGGAAGAGATGCATGGTATGTGTTTTTATGCATTAAATGAGTTTTGTGAAGTCTTACAGCATATGACCTTCTGATTGTGACCACTTAAAAATTTATTATTAGTGATCTCAATTAATTAGAGATAACGTTAAAAAAAATCAGGGGCATAAAAAGACATGTCACAAAACATGTGTTTGCTCATTAGATATGACAGTAACTCTGCTGGGGAAATTAATATTGATACAGCTATTGAAACAGAAATACACTGGAGAGGAACAGAGGCTGAGTGCTGTTCTTTGCCAGTGTTAATGATGAGAAGATAAAATGTGAATGCATATTGACTACAACTTCCCATACACTAAGTATATTTCATTTCTTGGTAGGTTCCTCCATGTACCATTTGAGTTCCCTGAGACAAATGGCATTACCAGTAATATTCCCATGCTCATGTACTACTTTTCTTCACTACTTGATACAGTTGAAGCAAAAAAGCCTTCAGAGTGGAGTCATTTTCCTAGCTACGATTATACTACAGAATTTGTGAGATCTGCTGCAGTCTTTGCAGACTTCATAGTGAACATGAAGGCGGGGCACTCAGTATACATATTAGGCGTTACGCAAATGCCTCCTTTTTTATGGCTTTATTTGTGGGGTACGCAGATCTCTGTCACTGTTGCTGTTTCTGGTAGCAAGCCAGCAGTTCTTGTTTACCAGGCAGGAGTAGGACAGGAGGCTGTTTTGCCAAATGTATACTTTTTATTGTTTAGCTCTTAATTCTAACGTGTAGCATGGGGATTAAACAGGAGGAATTGGAAACCTGTGTGCAGTTGAAGTCCTGTTGCCTTATTGGGATCATAGAGAAGTGGTGGAGATTAATTTACTTGACTGCAGTGCTGTGGTGTATGGATCTAGGCTGGGGGAGGAGGACAGGCCACAAGGGGAGCAGGGGAAGGTGCTGTTGACAGGAGAGCAGCTGGAATATGTGATGCTTTGCTTAGGGAGGCAAGGGTCATGAGCCAGCTGGAAGTTAATAGTTTAGGATTAGGGGTAAACCAATGTGGGTGACAGTGTGATGGGTGTTAGCTACAAACTCTCTGACCAAGAAAACATAGGATATGACGTTTTCCTTAGAGTGGAAGAAGCCACACTCCTTGCAGGGCTCTTTAACCTCTTTGTCATCTTCTGGAAGATCAACACAACAGGACACAAGAAATCCAACTGATCTCGTGGCTTCAGTGACCATGAAATGGTCAGGATTGTCAGAGGAGGAAGCAAGGCAAATAGCAGGATCACAACCATTGATCTTGAGAAAACCAGTCTGGCCTGTTGAGAGATTTACATGGAACAATCCCATGTGATATGTTCCTGAGGAGAAGAGGGGCCTGGGAAAGCTGGTTGTTTTTTTTCCTCCCTTCCCTCCCTTCCCTCCCGAATTATGTCCTGCAAGCTCGTGTATGGTCCATGCTGATATGTAGGGTATTGAGCAGAGGTAGCAGAAGACCTTTCTGGATAAGCAAGAAGGTTCTAAGAAAACGTAGACATGAAAAGCAAGTCCATAAGTTGGAAGCAGTGTTATGTCGCCTGGGAGGAATACAGAGACAGCCCCAACTATGGTTAAATCTGGCAAAAGACCTGAAGGGCAACAAGAAAAGTTTCTATAGGCTTGCCAGAAGCAGGGAAGAGTAAGGTGAACGTGATCCCACTGTTGAATAGGCTAGGGGACCTGGCAACAAAGGACATGGAAGAGGTTGAGATCATCACTGCCTTCTTCATCTCAAGTTCTAAGAGTAAGATTCAGAAATCCCTGGAAGATGCTCAAAACCTGATTGCACATGGACCTAAACAGTCAGATCAAGCTGCCCCTGCTTTGAGGAGGGGAGTTGGTCAGTTGGTCTAGACAATTTCCAGAGGTCCTTTCCAACCTTGATGGTTCTGTGATTTGGCTGCTTATGAGAAGCACGATGAAATAATAGCATGAAGTATAGGTAGTTGTAGAATCAAACTTGCAGACTGGCCACAGCTGTGGAGGGAGTTGAAAAAAAAAAAAGGTTAGGGGCAGATTCAGTTGGATAAAGCCTGCTTGGTTTTAAACACAGAAGGCTCAATAATTAAGAACAGTAAGTATGTTACAAATCAGTGATATAATGAGCAACATCTTGTCTGTTTAGTGCCTATATGGAGAAGTGTTTCATCTGCATTGGGATTCTCCAGGAGAACAGCACATGGGACACTGCTGATACAGTTTCCTTTCATGTCAGTTTCTTTACTTTGTTCTTAGTTCTGTCCTTCTGAAACTTGGATCAGATATAAGCAACTCCCACTACAAAAGTTCCCATAGCAACATCACTGCAGAATTATGAATAAACTGCATGCCATCAGCAGATTCCTAGTTTAGATGCAGCTGTGCTGACTGCTGTTTTTGCTGGCTTAGTTTATGGTGGTTGGGAACCTAGGACCTTCAGCTAGACCAGCAGAAGAAAACCCCTTTTAATATGCGTGGTACCTCCAGCAGAAGGACCTGTTGCTTTAGCTGTACTGCTATAACTGTTAGGA